TTATACAGAAATACAGGTGGATTTACAATAAATTCCAGGGAGGTGTAGGCACAGTCTTTAAGTTCGATTTACCCGAGGATTTAAACATAGCCTCTCGTTACGTTGCCTTTTTGACTCAGCTTTTCCAGCCCACAGACTATCCCTAGAACCGCCATGATTACTAGGCTTGCAACTGGGGATTCAAATATTAACATGATATGCATAATTATACAGTGGGTCAACTAATATGCAACTTTTGGGTTTCTGCTACGCTGGATCTGTCCCAATACCGGTAGCCACACTGAAAAGAAAGCGGCGTTAGAAGCCGATTGAGCCGCCGCGAAACTTGATGGCCTCATCAAACCCAGATGTTTCCAGCAGTTTATTCTGGAGAAAGATCTAACTGGACACAGAACTAGGAATTCGTCCTTGCGGCCTTACGCTAAATTCTAAGGCGGGAACATATTTCCGTGTTTTAACCCTAACCCAAACTGTGGCCTTCGCCTGAACTTTAAACCTGAGCCTACCTCTAACTCAAAGCTTAACCATAAACCTTATTCTCCCTGGAAGTGTGATGCAAAACCACCCCCCTCCCCTATAACGTGAACAATTCCTATTCCCGTGGCTCAAAAAAAACTGCTATTAAATATGGCCTAGCCGCAGCGAGACCAAACACCTCTCTAGAGTGGACAAGTTTTTATTTCTTTGCCCTTCTAGATCATTCTGATCCCGGACGATGGGGATACTGGGCGAATAGCAGAGTACTGTGAACGGTACCGTTCCCTCTCGGATCAAATTGCTCGGGGAGAAGCCGACCCCTCCAGCATGCCCAGGCAGTGCGAGGAGTACTTCCGTCTGCCGCATATACACTGGAACGAGACGGGCATGGTGACAGTTCGTAAGTTGCCGTGAATTAAGAATGTGTTTTTTTTAACCTGGGCGAAGTGGGTGTTGCAAACAGGGGGCGCTAAGACACTTCTTTTTTGCTTTATGTAGCCTGTGAATGCAACGTGACGGGTTCCGTATCGGCGGTGTGTGACAAGAGGACCGGCCAGTGTCTCTGCAAACCGGGTGTTGTGGGCAGAACGTGCTCGCAGTGTGAGCCCTATCACTTCCATTTCAGTGCTTCGGGTTGCACAGGTAGGTAACCTCTTGCCAGTTTGAATTATTTTTTAATACTAAGCCGGTGTCACTGACATTGTAAGGTTTTTAAAAAATGTATTTGCTAAGTCGGCAACTATTATGCAAGGGGGAAATACCTTTATGCTACCTTTTCTTCTGGGTCAGTGTACAGTACATAGACGATAAAGGAACCGCTATCAAGACCTCATCGACTTAAGACCTAAGATATGTTCCAAAGTGTCATACTGGCATCTCTCCGATTTCCCCTTTTCTGCGGGAACCAGGATACAGTTCGAATAGTGCCGAAGTTTTTGAAGAAAGAAATGTTATGAGGGCTATCAAAAGACATTTCAGTATAAAATGCGAAACATGGTAAACCAACCGCTTCAGATGCAGAAAACGGAAAATATAGTTGAGGCATTTTTAAGCAACTAATTTACCTAATACGGCTAGAATTGGCATTCATCAAATATATAAAACAGGAACTACCCTGTAATGCGAGCGACCTTACGCTAAGTTTCAGGAATAGTACCTATAACCGTTTCCTTGTCCTAACACAAAACTTTACCCAAACGTTAGCCTTAAGCTTATCTCTGAACTGAGTCAGAAACCTACCTTTACCCTAATTATAACTGTAAATACGGTATCTTAAAGTAATACGTACGTCAAATCAGCTGCAGAAACTCTTTGATTTGAGTATGTTAGTAGTTTTTCCATACATGTACATATCCAGATCGTAAATGGCAAGAATACGAGCCCGTAGCGCAGTGATAGTGAGCGTTGGACTTGTAATCACCAGGTCACGAGTGCAAGCCTTGACTGGTGCATCATCTGGGGCTGAGTATGTTAGGAGTATAGCCTGACCAAATGCTAGCAGCATTGTAGGCTCTCCTGAGACGTCGTGCCGGGCACAATGTCTTTGTGTCTTCACTCCCACCGCGTCCACGTACGTTCCACTTTGTCGCAGTTCCTGAATGGCCAAATGGTCACGTGACCTTATCTCAATGCGGCCAATGAGGCCACAAGCGAACGTGCTTGACAGTAATTTATAAGCTATTGTAACCTCTCAGACAGTGAGTTGAAACACGGAATGCGAGGACACCGCTAGTCCGTTCCCGATTGACGGCGCTGGCTCCGAAGCGGGGACATTAAGCGCGCTGGAAATCAACAAGCCACAATTACCATCCGAAAAAGCAACTTCGGATTTTGTACACAATAAACTCTCTTCTGGGTGGATTCAAAAGTTACGCCCTTCTTATTGTGTTCTCCCTTGGGGATTCAAAAGGGCATACTAAGACGACGAGATCACTGAAGTCACGGTTACAACGGAGTATGTCTGGCTAATGATGGGTAATGAGCTAGAAACGGCTATTCTGGTCTGCTTTGCGTTTAGCGGCAATGTTCGTCTGCATATACAAATATATATAAAACTATAAGAAAACATAAAAAAACCACAAACATAAAGCTACAATCCAACCACTGCACGTACAAAGAAGTGCCAAACTTATCCTATTCAAGGGGGCGAACTTCAAGTTCAAGATGAATGCCAAATTTAACCAAAGTAGACCATGCTTTAAATAAACTCTCAAAATAACGGGCGAATACAATCGACAAAACGTTGCAAGATATCATCTAAACTAATCTCCAAATAGCTTTTCTGAAATACCGAATGCAGAATCTCTTCTGTCCTGTGACTGAGACCCACAGTGCATGTAGTTTTACAACGTACGATTCCAATATCAATTGCACAGGTAGTGAAACTGCAAGCCACTGTGGAGTTTCTAATTTTGGCAGCGGTATCTAAATGGAGAGTGCACAGGGAAGCTTAGTTCTCTTCCGTCTCTAATCTACGTGTTCTAGGTTCACCCTTATACCTCAATGGCATGTGCATAGAAATTATATAATAGCAAACTGAACTATTGAGTGAAAATGAGTAGCAACAATATCGGAATAAATTACCAGATGTGTGATTATACTACACTCTCAGCTTTTATTTTCCTACACCCTTATCTTATCCATCTTTCCATATTTGTGTGTAGCTTGTGAATGCGACCCCCAGGGCTCTCTCAGTCGACAGTGCGATCCTTTGACGAGCCAGTGTCCCTGTCGTGAGGGTATCGAGGGTCGTCAGTGCAATCAGTGCCGCAGCGGTTATTGGGACTTCCCCCGCTGCCGAAAGTGCGAATGTAACGGCATGAGCGACACCTGTGACCAAGTAAGTTTCAACTTCCAACAGTCGGCTGGCTAACTGTATTATTCAGAATGAGTGATATATCATCTCAACTCCACCAATAAACGGACAGTTTTATAGAGGAGTTCCTAAAAGGTTATAAAGGTGTTGGGAGTAAACTTATTCAATTTGCACTTCATCATCACATGAGTTGAAGGCTTGGACAACGGTAAAACTACGAGACAGGAATCCCAGACTAGGTGTTGTGGTCTGAAGTGTGGTGTCTGTTACGGGGCGGCGTAAGTGCACGCGCTCCCCGAACGACATTCCCACG